TGTCAGCAGCAAAACTGGTTGATCCACTCTGAGACGGTGCTATTTAAGAGACTGAGCTGAATACAGCTCCTCAGACTGAGGAAGTCTCTCGGGTGAGAGACGAAACGTTTCTACATTTTTTTGTTGATTTGCTTTGTTTTGTTTTTTTGAATGTCCAGAGGACCAGATTTAACTTTTTTAGATTTTTCTGCCTGGATTATTGAGCATGCATCAGGATATTCAACAGTAAAGTTAGTTGAAACACTATTTCATACTAAAAGTCATACATTAAACAGTCTCACTTTAAAATTTTCTAAATTTGTCGCACTTGATCGGGGTGCGGAAAAAATCTTTTTTTATTTATTTATTTAAAGAATGTATTTTCTTAGTCCTGGCGATTCTGAGTCGATTCTAAAGGCCCATAAATCGATTTTAAAATGCATTGTTTTTTCGCTCCTACTCCCACGTAGTGAAGTTACCTCTAACACTGAAGCTTCAAAGCACGCTTCAAACTCGACAGGGTAGTTATGGTGAAGCAGTGGGCCGGAGCTTGCTTCATGTGACATCACCGATGACGTATGAACCACTTCATTGCTTCATTCAGACCGAGTCAGCTGACTGCTTCGAGTTGACAGGTGGAGTTTCAAACATTTGGCGAGATTCGGTGTATTTAAGATGGCTCAAGCCCCAGTTCACATCCCCGTTCTACACGTATTATACGTTATAAACAGCTCTTGTTTTTTGCTATTCAGACAGTGGTTAATTTTGAGCCGGATCCTGTCAGAACAAGATCCTGGAACTCTATCATTTTGACTGCTTGGATCCTCCAACTCCGCCCCTAAAAGTCCAAAGTCATTGCGCATTTTTATTTTGATTATTTATTAAAAGTACGAGTGGATGTTCTGGCCGCGGCACGCTCCTGTCAGCAGAGACACAGACTGCATGTCCCGCGGGGAGCGTCTTCATCCTCTTTCAGCTGTGCGCCCTGAGACAGTTGTTTTATGCACAGCGTCTCCAGACAGGACGCGTGCACAACTGCTGTGTCGGAACTCCTGCATACTTTACAGTGCATAACATTTCAGACACAATAAATAAGCTTACAGTATAAAAAAACAAAAACGAGTGAAATGTTTGATGTGTATTACATCACATATCAAAACAACGGCACTAATTAGTCAAAATAACAGTGATCAAAAGGTCAAAAAGACAATATCTAAAATAAATGGATGGATAGCTGGACAACAGAGGCAGTGGCAATTGAGAGTGGAGCAGAACACACAGGACTGAATTCAGCTGAGAAGAGTTCAGGTCGGCACTCAGCAGTGTGTATGTGTGTGTGTGTTGGGGGGATAGTAATTTCAGTTCGACCTTTATTTATACAGGTTGTTAGTCTCATTGAGCCTCGTCATTTCCAAGAGAGACCTGTTTTTAATCAATTTATTCAAATGTTTAACAACCTGTTAAAATACACCAAAATGCAGGAAATGGCATCTCTTTTATACCAAATTTTCAGAAATCCTACAATGTTCCAGGGGAAGACAGAGCTTAACAAGAGCACGATTGTTTGCAAGAAACGTAAAATAAAATTGCGGTACAGTATTTTGGAAATACGAGAAAATACACGGAAGATGAAAAGCGAAGCAGCCGACCAGCGAGCTCTGCAACAAACTTCCAGGCTTCTCCAAAGGCTGTGAAGATTTCCCTCTCCATCTGCTGTATCACAAAGGATTTACGATCAGACAGCTCAGTGGAAGGTGAGGGATTTATATTTAATACGCTGGACCCCAACGTAAGTTATTCCTTCACCTAGATTTTTTTTTTTTGCGATAAGCAGCTTCACAACTTCACCATGAAACAACAAATGGGAGAAGCTCTGAAGCAGCTGCAGCTCAAAGGTAACTGTTATTTCTCATATTATACTAAAACTTCTAAAAACAAGTTGTACAAGAAACTTAATGTAATTTGTCTTTTTATCAGGTTGAAGAGGACAGATGAGACACATCGCCTGGAGCCTGTTCTAAATGTTACAATTTATGGTTTATAAATTATAGTTCAGAAGAGGTTTTTGTGCAGGTTTTGAAATTTTGTTATAGATTTACCAAATATGAATCAATATGGTTAAGTTTGTGAAGTCTGTATATTTCATATTAGGTTAAGTTTTGAAAATAGAGCAAATTAGAGCAGTATGTTTAAAAAAAACCTGTGAAGTCTGTATTTTATTTTGAGTTAAAGGTTAATATACTGGCAGGCTGAAGTCTGTTTACTTTTATATTCATATATTTTGAATTATTTGTTTGTGATGGACTTAAGACCTGTCCAGGTGTCCCCTGCCTCTTGCACAGTGATAGTTGGACATTAGCACCAGTGATACATATGACCCGTAAAGGAAGAAGTAGGTAAAGATGATGGATGGATAATTATTTGTACCTAGATTTTTGTTTTTATTTTATTTTTGAGTTTTTGAGAAATCCAGGCAACTAAGCTAACCTAATACTGGTAATTTAAGGTACAGAATTGTATGCGCTCCTGTGTTTGTTCCTATTTTTTGGTATAAATATAAAATGAATCAAAAAGATTTGATACAGTAAGGAACCTAAAATACTTGTTTTAAATAAATGTTCTATTTGTTTACATTGTTGTTTAATCTTTTCAGCTTATCAGTTATATAACAAACAAAATTTACGACAATTTCAATATAAAAATTGTTTCTGAATCAAAAATTGTTTCTAAATCAAAAAATCAATTTTGAATCGAATCGTGACACCAAAAATCGGAATAGAATCGCCAGACACTGAGAGTCGCACCCCTAATAAAATGTATACAAGATGTAATATATTTTGTTGTGATTTGACCTTGACCTTGAGGTAGAGCTGGGTGATATGGACCATTTTTTTCTTTCCATAAAGTAATAACAAAAATACAGACACTTTCCAAAAAATTAGAATATCATGGAAAAGTTGTTTAACTTCCATAAATCCATTCAAAATGTTAATCTTTAATAGATGATAGAGTCAGGGCCCACAAGTTAAACAATTTCAAGTATTTATTTGTTTATTTTTACATAATTTGGGCTTGCAGCTCATGAAACCCACGAAAACAGGAATTCAAAAAATTAGAATACTGTAAAGAAATCGGCCCACACTACTTCTCTCAGTTTTTGCAGAAAAAAATAAGAAATTAGGATCACAACAATTCAATCAAAATATGGTGCTTTCAGAATGATAATGTCAATCTTCAATACTTTGTTGGGAATCCCTTTGCCTTAATCACTGCCTCGATGCGACGTGACATTGAGTCAATCAGCCTGTGGCATTGCCTGGGAGTTATGGAAGCCCAGATTTCCTTGATGGTTGCTGTCAGCTCTTCTTTGTTGTTGGGTCTGGTGCCCCTCATTTTCCTCTTGAGAATACCCCATAGATTCTCAATGGGGTTTAGGTCCGGCGAGTTGGCTGGACAGTCAAGCACTGTGATGGCAGCATGGGCAGGAGCCAGGTCCTGCTGGAAGATGAAATCTGCATCTCCATACAGATCCTCAGCAGAAAGAACCATGAAGTCCTCTAAAACATTCTGGTAGACTGTTGCGGTGACTTTGAATTTAAGAAAGCAGAGTTTACCAACACCTGCACTGGACATTGCACCCCAAATCATGACTGACTGTGGATATTTCACACTGGACCTCAAGCAGTATGGGCTCTGTTCCTCACCCTTTTTCCTCCAAACCCTTAGACCTTGATTTCCGAATGAAAGGCACATTTTACTTTCATCGCAGCAGTGGTGGTGGTGTGCGGTGGATTCTCCGGTGGTGCACACCCATTTTTATTTTAATTTTATGTAGTGGATTAAATAAAATAAAAATGAAAACTATCCACCCCCGCAGTGGCGGATTCCCCATCTGCAGTGGTGCACAGTGAACACCAGCTGTGGTGCACGGTGGTGGATTCGCCGGTGGAGCGCACTACTGTTATTTTTAATTTATTTATTTTATTTAGTGAATTAAATTAAATAAAAATAAAAACTATCCACCACCGTGGTTGTGGATTCTCCTCCGGTGGTGGTGGGCGGTGAACACAGGCTGTGGTGCGCAGTGGTGTATTCTCTGGTGGAGCGCACCCCTGTTCTTTTTTTTGTGTGTGTGGATTAAATAAAATGAAACTAAAAACAGGAGGCGGGCAGTGGTGGGATCCCACTGTGGATTAAATAAAATAAAACTACGGTAAAAACAAGAGGTGGGTGGTGGTGTGATCCCTTCGTGGAAAAAAAAAAGAAACTATCGTTATCATCGTTAGTGAGATACTTCCACACTGTTGATGAATTTCTCTCCATTTTCATGGACAGTGGACCCCAAGTACTTGAAATCCTGCACCTTTGTGACCTCTGCTTCTTGTAGCCTAACTGTTCCACTAGCCTCCATCCCATTCACACACATGTCCTCTGTCTTACTACAGCTGACTTTCATTACTCTTCTTTCACATGCATGCCTCCACCACTCAAGTTCTCTTCCACCTCTCTTCTGGGCGGCTGTGACTGATTGGTTAGAGCAGTTGTCCTCCAATGCAGGAGCTGGGAGTTCGAATCCACCAGCAGTCACATGCCCAAGTGTCCCTGGGCAAGACACTGAACCCCTCGTTGCCTCCTATGTGTGTTGCATTGGTGTATGAATGTGATCTAAAGCTCTGATTAGTCTCTTTAGAATGATTTGTTTAATTATCTTTGTAGAGATCTAGTAGAGAGCTGTATGAATGTGTAAATGAGGACACAGATTGTATTATAAAGCGCTTTGAGTATCTATAAGATAGAAATGCACTGTATAAATACAGTCCATCTACCATCACCTGTTCCCTGTTCTCACCACAGATCACAATATCATCTGCAGACACTGTATTCTATGGGGATTCCTGCCTGACCTAATCTGTTAGTCGGTCCATCACTAGAGCAAACAAGAAGGGGCTCAGAGCCGATCTTTGATGCAATCCCACCTCTACCTTGAAGCTCTCTGTCACTCCTACAGCACATCTCACCACTGTCTTGCTGTTCTCATACATGTTCTGTACCAATCTATCATACTTCTCTGCCACTCCAGATTTTTGCAGATCTGCAACCATATCCAACGTCTGCGGGTCACGAAACAGATGCTGCATGTTTTGGAGTTCCCGCCTACATCTGCAGGGATGAAGAAAGCATGGCGCGCACGGCTAGATCGTTCCATCATGGTTGCCACTGACTGGTGAAGCAAAACAAAGGTTTTCATTGGTTGAGACGCACAATGATTCTCATCCATAGCCAATAATGATCAACATCACGTCTTATGTGACCAAGTGTGTGTGTTTTTGTGTCATTGGTCCCCACGAGGTTGTAAAAATGAGTGTCTGTGCATGTGCGTGTTTGTCATTGGCCCCCACAAGTTAGTAAAAATGAGTGTGCGTGTTTTAATGTTGAATTAACATTGTCGTTAATGTACATCCATTTCAGTGGTTCCTGACTATGTTTGGTTCTGATTAAAAGAAGAAGCTCCTCAAGGTTGAAGGCCTGATGTGGATCAGCAGGATTCCGAGCCTCTTGTCATAGAGTGGAAGAGAAGACTCTTGGACCAGTCTGGTGGGAGACCAACTCAATATGGAGGAGACCGTAATCAGGTTTTTGGTCACTACAGTTCCTTGAAAGAGTGAGGAGATTAAAAAAAGAAAACTTACCATGAACCCAGATCTAAAGACTCGCAAAGACAGTTCCAGCTATTCAAAGACTAACGTTAATGGGAACGATGAAGACGATGGTGAAATGACAAATACTGACTCTCCGCTAAAGAACTCATCAGGCTCTGAATCAGAACATGAAGACCGTAAGAAAGAATGGAAGGAGAGCAGGGCTCCTGAATCAGAGGTAAAAACTGTTAAAAAATCTTTGAGCTGCTCTGAGTGTGGTAAGCAGTATGTCAGTAACCAGACTCTTCAAAGACACATGACAAGTCATGGAGTGAAGTCTTCTAGCTGTCTGCTTAATAAGAGATGTGTTGGAGAGAAGAAAAATGTAGAGTCATACTGGAAAGTCCAGGCAAGGCCAAAATCAATGAGCTGTGATGACTGTGATAAAAAATTTAATTGCAAAGCAAATGTAAACAGACACATGAGAGTCCACACAGGAGACAAACCGTTTACTTGTGAACTTTGTGGACATAGATTTAGTCATAAGTCAAGTTTAAACACGCACATGAGAGTCCACACAGGAGAGAAACCATTTCCTTGTGATCTTTGTGGACAAAGATTTACTCAGAAGTCAATTTTAAATACACACATGAAAATCCACACGGGAGACAAACCATTTCCTTGTGACCTTTGTGGACAAAGATTTAGTCTGAAGGCACCTTTAAACAGGCACATGAGAATTCACACAGGAGAGAAACCATTTCCTTGTGATCATTGTGGTCAAAGCTTTAGTCAAAAGACACATTTGATCTCGCACATGAGAGTCCACACAAGAGAGAAACCATTTCCTTGTGATCTTTGTGGACAAAGATTTAGTCGGAAGTCAAGTTTAAACACACACAGGAGAGTCCACACAAGAGAGAAACCATTTCCTTGTGATCTTTGTGGACAAAGATTTAGTCACAAGTCAAGTTTAAACACACACAGGAGAGTCCACACAAGAGAGAAACCATTTCCTTGTGATCTTTGTGGACAAAGATTTAGTCGGAAGTCAAATTTGAGCACACACATGAGAGTCCACACAGGAGACAAACCGTTTCCTTGTGACCTTTGTGGACATAGATTTAGTCTGAAGGCACTTTTAAATAAACACATGAGAGTCCACACAGGAGAGAAACCATTTCCTTGTGATCGTTGTGGTCAAAGATTTAGTCAAAAGACATATTTAAACTCGCACATGAGAGTCCACACAAGAGATAAACCGTTTCCTTGTGATCTTTGTGGACAAAGTTTTAGTCACAAGTCAAATTTAAACACGCATAGGAGAGTCCACACAAGAGAGAAACCATTTCCTTGTGATCTTTGTGGACAAAGATTTAGTCGGAAGTCAAATTTGAGCACACACATTAGAGTCCACACAGGAGACAAACCGTTTCCTTGTGATCTTTGTGAACAAAGATTTAGTCTGAAGTCACTTTTAAACAGACACATGAAAGTCCACACTGGAGACAAACCGTTTCCTTGTGATCTTTGTGGACAAAGATTTGGTCAAAAGACAGTTTTAAACAAGCACATGACAGTCCACACAGGAGACAAACCGTTTCCTTGTGATCTTTGTGGGCAAAGATTTAGTCATAAGACTACTTTAAACACGCACATGAGAGTCCACACAAGGGAAAAACCATTTCTTTGTGATATTTGTGGCCAAAGATTTAGTCATAAGTCAAGTTTAAACTCACACAGGAGAACTCACACAGGAGAAAAAACATTTCCTTGTGATTTTTGTAGTCAAAGATTTAGTCGGAAGTCAAAT